GCGTAGTGTGCGTACAGGGCAGACCGGCTCTGGTTCATGGGGCTTTTGTTGCACTCGCAGTGGGTGGTGAGTGTGGCTGTGTGGCCTCTACCGCTGTCTCCTGCCTCTGCTCTCTCACTGACACACAGAGCTCAGCAGAGGGACAGAGAGACAGTGGGAGTTGATGATTGTGAGTAAAACCAGCTGTATGCCAGCTGATGTGAAATGAAAGATCAGATCGGGTCAGTAAAGCTCAATATTGTTGAGACATGCCTAATTCTTATCATAGTTGTTGATAGGCAACTGCCCCACCCCCTGTCATATACTTTACAGCGGTGCACCCATAATATGTAGCTACTGTTCATAATTTTGACGATGAAAGGCACAATGAGACCATTATACACAGTCTGGTATCACCAACTTACATATGAAACCTAACTGATGTCATTAATATAGGCTACTTACTTGAACCCAAACCATGATCTTTTAGTAGTTTTGGTGTCTAATCCTAACCAAACAACATTCTCATAACATTTCACAACATTAACCATGTGTTTATTATTGTAACTAAGACTAATGAAGGTCATTTTACGAAGGTCACCTGACTTCGCCCTTTCCTGCATATCCAAATATACTGTATGATATTAAGGGTAAAAAACTCCATGGAGTAGTTTTGTTTTTGGTATAATAGGCAGTCAGACAAACGGGCTTTCAGTCCAGTGGGTCATTTTTATTGGAGACTATTGGAGTTTAGGAATAATGGGCCGTCGGAACAGTGGGCAGCTCCCCATTAAAACACACCGGTCAATGATAACTATACTAATGGATGTTATACTGTCTTCCAGGGAAATTGTTTAGGTTTTCTTCTTCACATCTTTTCTTGCTTTGGCAGGGAGCAGTTAAAGCTCTGTGAGGCTGTACTTGCAGTGGTGCTATGAGCTCTCGTTAGCATGCTAACACGCTCACAATAACAACACTAACATGCTTTTACCCAGTATAATGTTAATATATTGATATTTAGCAAATTAGCTAACATGTGCTTTGCTTTGTAATGAAGAAATAGCTGGAACTTATTTTCAAGTGTGATGAGCAGTACACTAATAAATGAACAAACAGTATTAAAATAGTTGTTAACAATGTGGGTTTTCTTTTGTTATTGTATTTATATTCTCTTATTTGTCAAGAATTCTTTGGCATTTTTGTTAAACAAAACAGTCTATTATTTTGCTTCATGACATAAAGCTCCTCCTGGCAAAACGGGAGGTTGGAAAGATGTCCACTACAATCTTTCACTTTCAGTTATTTTAATCCTGCTTCCTATCTCACCAGCAGATCACAGCAGAAAGGTGAAAATAGGCAAACTGAGAGGGAGGGGGTGGGAAATGTGGCTATTTCAGTCTTCCAATGTAAGAAATTTTAAGCCCTTCTGAATTTCAGCGACGTATTCATCCCTCATATGAAACAGGGGTGCTTGTATCATATGAGCTGCAGCCTATATACAACGACACATTGTTTATCATCGGCCGACGCTGCAGGGTAAATTTAACATGTTTGTGTGCTGCTTTATGTTCACTGCCGGGATGTTCATTCAAATTAAAAAAATGTTTTTGTATTCACTTATTGTGTTCATATGTTGCTGTAGTTTCTGCATATGATTAGATACATGCAGCATCTACCTCTAAACTCTTTATGTATATTTAAGTGAGAACTGATGATTAAGTAGTTCCACACTTTCATCCACACATTATAATTTATTCGCGTGATGAAGTTGAAATGTTTTTATTATGACCGAACTGAACACGTTATTATTATTCTTTATCTTTGTTGTGTACTCTCAAACTATTTGCTACTGCAGTGTCCCCATTTCCCCGCAGGGGCCATTAAAGTTTCATTTTACCTTATCTCATGTGTAAGGTAAACAGATTCATTAAGCAGGTTGTGATCACAGTTGAGCAGCGTTACAATGAAGGTGATAAACTGCAGGAGGGAGCACATCACACTCAGTATGGGGAAATCAACTCTCTCTCTGGGGACGGGCTGCTGGCTAGTGCATTGCTGGGGCTTCAGATGCAACAGAAGCTAATACTCAGAAGGCCCTGTGTTTTTCTGCAGCTGCACTACACATGCTCACGCACACACGCCCACACATATATTTTTTCAAAACAAGGGCAGAGTTATATCTGCATACCTGCTTTCCTTTTGAAGCAATTTGGTATTGAAGCTTTCAGTGATGTCCTCTTTACACAAGAAACCGACTGGTTACATAGAGTTTTCTGATGCAATTCAGTAGTTTCAGGTAAATAAATGCTTGATTAAGAATGATAATAAGCATAAGAACTGGTAATTGAAAAGGCATGCAGTATGTGGCATGAAGCAGCCATCTGTCTTTAGTCTGTCCTCAGCGCTGTGTGCTGCTCCCTTGTGGTAAAGCCTCCTGGCTAACACTAGCAGCTGTTGAGAGCTGTGCCCCCACAACACTTTGTTCTGTCATGTGATGTGTGATGTTAAGGATCAATAGTAATTGCCTGTTCAGCAGCACTTCTCTTACTGTGATGGTATCAGTCAGGAGCTCAGAGTTGTCCACTAACCAACAATAGCACCACTACCACATATTTGGGATTTTTTACACAAATGGAACTTCCCTTCTCTGTTTTAAAGGCAACAAATACAATAGCTCATCCTCATGTAGAATCAGTTTGGTTCAATAAAAACTACCAAAAAAGCTCTGGTGCTGCTGGGTGCAGCGAGCACAGAGCGAACCCTGTGGGCCGAGGTGAACTTTCCAAAGATCAACTTGTCACAGTGACTCAGGAAACATCCCTGAGGTGAGCCGTGGGTGACAGCTGCTGCCGCTCCACTGGCACAGGTAAATGCCAGAAACCCCACTTGGATACACTAGCTTGCTGACACACAAACACACACACCTACACACACATATGCGCACACACACACACTTTCCTGGATGAATTTCTCCAGGATATAACTCCCAGGAGAGCAGGGAGACGAAAACTTCTTCCCTCCCATTAAGAGACGGAGCTGATTAAACTGTCAAGAAGCTAATAAAATATTCATTTCATGTTGGCAGAGAATTATTACATGACTTCCCAGGCTTATTGTTATTAAGTTCTCTGCACAACTTAATTGATTAATCCAATTTTAGACAGATTTTTGTATGTTTTTCTCCATGTGCTTCTATCAGCAACTGCTCGCGGCGTGGGGACACTACATTACACACATACACACAAACACACAACAATGTCATGAAAGGCC